GTTAGGGGATGGCTTAGTAAACCGATTGCTGTGTGGGTGTGAAGATGTAAGTTTCCTCCCCAGAACATAAAAATCTGAGTACAGTCAGGCTTGCTAGACTGTAATAAGGATATCACGTTACCTGTATGGTTTGCCTCCTCAAACCCCAAAGCCCAGGGTAATAATGAGACAGACAGTTCCACTAGGGAGGCATCCTATAAAATACATGACCAGTAAGCAACACACTCAGAATCTCCCAAAACTGCAATGCATGAGAAACTGTTACATCTAAAAAAGACCTAATAGTACCTGGCAGCTCAAGGTCATATACATTCATGAATGGGATCTTAGAAAGGAGAAAGGACATTATGTAAAAGCTAAGGAAATCTAAACAATAACATTTGCTATAAAGTGTTAATAATGGGGAAACTGGATAAATGGGAACACTGTAGAATGTTGTCTGACTTTTTCTGTATGTCTAAAACATTTTCAAAAACAAAGACTAATAAACACAGTGGATAATATTATTAAATAAATTTTAAAATTCAGGCAACCATTTGAAAAGAAAGCCCAAACATCATTTGTTTATAATATTTTTAATGTTTTATTAATTCTTTGAGACTTTTCATGCAATTTGTTTTTATCATACCTCCATCCCTCCACCTAACTCCTTTCAGATCCAGCCCCACCTCCCTACACCCCCAACTTTGTGTCCAGTTTTTCTCTTAGTTACTTGAGTCCATTTGTGCTACTCGTATACTCCTGGATGTGGAGCTGTCCACTCGAGCATGGGTAACCTTACTAGGAGCCATGGCCTTAAAGGCGAGCTCTCCATCACCTGTTCATAGCTTCTCAGTTAGAGATGCAGGCTCCATCCTTCCCACTCAGTGCTGGAATGTTGGTGGGCTTGATCTTGTGCAGGTCTTGTACAGGCAACCATAGCTGCTGAGAGAGTTCATGGGTACACAGGTCCTATCATGCCAGAAGATTGTTTCACTCCAGTCTTCCCTAGCCCCTAGCTCTTCAGCATATCTAGCCCCTCTCCCTGAGCCTTGGGGTCTTATGGGGAAGTGAATTTCTTTACAATTTTAATATGGTTGTCGTGTATGACCAGACTTGAGTCATATTCTCTCTTGTGAAGACCTAATATCTGACTTTTAAAACTCATGAGTAGCAAATATCTGTATATTCATTTCCTGAGGAGGTTGTTTCTGTTTATTTTGTATGTTGTTTAGACATTTTAAAACTATGTGCTTGTGGCTTATTTCCTGTTTTGTTTTAGATGTTTATCTTTATCACAATCGTGCTGTAACCCTCAGATATTTTTAAAGATTGGCCATAGTGGTTCCCTGAATATTAATGACAATATTTAATCTCAATTTTTTGGTCTGTTTTCTGTTATTTTGGTTCTGATATTTGCTTTAATGTAGTTTCTAACTATCTTAACACACTTATAAATATTATAATAAACAACAAGGTTTTGGGGGGTTTTGTTGTTGTTGTTGTTTTTGCAAGCCAATCATTATACCTTTTCCTATAGTCCAGTGGTTCTTAACCTTCCTAATGCTGTGACCCGTTAATATAGTCCCTCATGTTGTAACCCCAAGCATAAAACTATTATTTTTTTGCTACTTCATAACCATACTTTTGTTACTGTTATAAATGATGATATAAATATCTGTGGGTTTTGATGGTCTTAAGTGACCCCTGTGAAAGGGTCATTTGACCCCCCAAAGGGGTTACGACCCACAGGTTGAGAACCACTGCTGTAATCACTCAGTAATTTGTCAGATTTATAGGTGAGTATTTTGTTGAAATATTTGCTTATCTAGAAAATGACTTCTTACTGTCATTATCCACATCTTCCAGCCTCTTGACATACAAGTGTTTATTTTAAATCATTATTTGTAATATTTACTGCATTCTTTCTTTTACTTGTGCTTGGGTATTTGTTTGTGTATTTATTTATCTATGTGGTGCTGAGGCTTGGTGTGGGCAGCACACATGCTGAAGAAGCACTGGGCCAAACCCAGTTCATGCTACTGTTATCTGTTAAGTAACGTGTGTTGCACGTTACAGGTTATAAATTTATTTGAATGTTGCTTTTCTTCTTTGACTGGTGTATTTAGGGTTTTTTGTTTGTTTGTTTGTTTGTTTGTTTGTTTGTTTGTTTTTTCCTGTTACTACCAGTAGAGACTTGTGCTCTATGTCAGAGTTAGTGACACATGTGACTAACCAGAGATAATTTCTGAAGAGAAACAGTGTCTCTTTCCAGTTCTTACTGTGTAATCCAGACCCTGATAAATGTTTTTCCAACCAACAGCATCATTCTTTGTTCAGGGGGTTGCTCAGCTCTTTTTCTATTCCAGTCCTTCTAAGTGCTTATTTTAAATGACAGATTGGATCTTTACCATCGTACCTCTGACCTTTATCTCTTCCCTCTGAGATTATAAAGTATTTTAAACTGCTAGTATTTATTAATTACCGTGCTAGGGATTAGACATAGTTATCATCAAATTTAATTTTGACAAACGTCCCTATAAAGCCAGTAAGCAATACTGTTATCCCATTATATAACAAAGACTGATAAATTTTCTCAATTATTTATTTGCCTTTATTCTAGAATTTGTTTTTATTTCATTTGTCATTTACAATCATGTTGTTTAATATCTGTGCTTATTTCCATTTTTTTCCTGTTAGGTTATAAGCTTTTGGAAGATTCAGATTGTTTCCTCATTACAACTGCTGTCCATACCTTGTATTTAGCAAATATGCCAGAAATAATGTTTTAAAAATCAGTTCTGTTCACTCAAATATTGGTTAGAGCTTTTATTTTTTATGAGGGTAAAAATATGAAATTCCTTTTTAAATTCTAAAGTTCTAAAGCTCTTCTTTCTCCTATTTAATCACTTAGTAAAAATTTTAATTTTAGAATAAAAACAGATTTAATTTTTTATCTTTTCACCTAAAAATAATTACCATGTTAGGTATACATTAAAGCATATTGTAAACTCTGATAAATACTATTGATAACTCAAATAATTGAAAGTAATAATTCTAAGTATTTCTATATGTTGCCATTATTTGCCATGCTTTAAAAATATAAATAAACCCTTAACTTTCTAAATAAACCATGGTTTTCAATTTAAAAAAAAATAATTTTGAGAAAATATTAGAAATATTTTTGAGAGACGTGTAAGGCTTTTCTGGTGGGAAAAGTAATGTCTGATAGTAAGATAATATTAAGGAAAACCAGGATGATTGTTGTGTCTAAAACATGTGACATTAGATCTGAGACTGCTAAAAGTGGGCTATAAATTTGTCATACTTTTCCCCCCAGTGAGCTGAGTAAATAAGAAAACATGTTTAATTATGTGATCAGGTTGCCATGTTATGAATGCAGTAAGGGAAATCTCTTTGTGAGTCCTCACCAGCTAGTGCCACAGTAACAAGTCGGTGAGCCACCTGTACATGTGTGATCGGCGTGGCTGATTCATGTCAGACCGTTCAGCACAAGCCATACTATACTGTTTATTAAAGGGCATCTGTGCTGTTACCTTCTGAGAAACAAGGGATTTTCTACAGCATCCTGTTCCAAGTCATTAGTAAATTGGAATTCTTTTATAAGGCAAATATTTTTTTTGTGAACTTTTTTTTTAATTTTATTTTTTTCTTAACAGTTACATTTTATTAACTCTGTATCCCAGCCGTGTCCCGATCCCTCATTCCCTCCCAGTCCCCTTCCCTCCCTCATCTCCATATAAGGCAAATATTAAAAATTCTTAATTTTTCGCCAGTGGTTGATGCACACCTTTAATCCTAGTACTCACAGGAGGCTGCCTGCTCTAAGTAGCAAGTTCTGAGCCATAACTGGGTCTAAATACTGAGACCCTGTCTCAAACAAACAGAAACTCTTAACTCTAAGCTACTTTCTTCAAAATTTTGGCACACACCTTTATATTTTGTTCCACATATGAGTGTCCTAAGTATTATAAATATGGACTCATTGGGATACTACACATAGGGTGTGTGTGGGAAGACCCTTGAGCCTCTGTCTAGAACAGAGATGAGTTGTGCCTTGTAATCGCAGTGAAGGGACCTAGGATACTAGATGCATGTTCACACTGAAGTTAGTGCTCTTGCGACTACTGTTAGAGGATTATTTGGTCTTCAGCTAGTCCTGAGATGATGTAGGCGTTGTTTCAGTGCTGTTCCCTATGATAGCTGCAGCTAAGGTGGCAGTCAGCTACTTGCAGTGTGGCTAAAATGATTAAGGAAATATTTTTAAATTTTATTTAAATTGTTTCAGCTTCAAATATCTACAGTGAGTAGCTATGCCATAGCAAATATTTGAGATAATCAGTTTATACAGAGAAAAATAATATTTTGGCTGAATATTAGAGTCTCCAGCCCATAATTGGTTGACTCCATTGCATTCAACAGCATACAATAGCAGGAACAAAACTGTTCATGCGTGGTCAGAGAGCAGGAAGACATCAGAAGAGACATCAGGAAGAGAGCCCAGAAGACATCAGAGTTGCACGGTCCCCATAAAGACCTTCCCTTATCTCACATCCCACATACTCATTGCACATAGGGGCTCCAGGACCTTCTAGGAGGGCACCATGAGGAATAAGCCTTTAACACAAGGACATTTTACATATCACATCCAAAGAATAGCAGGAGCTGATCATGTATTGAGCAGTATAGCTCTAATGAATGGAAACAACTACTTGCCTTTCGGGATAAGAATAGAGTGAGTGGAAGATTATGTTCTCTTATTGCAATTAGAAGTCTGAAATTTGTAAGAGACGTGTCCTAAGGTAATGTTTATTTGCAAATTTACTTTTCTGTTTTTGAGCTTTAAAATTAACCAGAATATTTGAATACAAAGTTCACCTTTTAGATATTAAAAGAGATGTTAGTAACCAGCTTTAAGCTAGGACACTTTAAGATTATTTCATAGAATACTTATAACAGTAGAAAGCCATGGAATATTGATACAGGCTGTCTTCCTACAGTTTCCAGAGTGTGGATTCTTTGGCATGTATGATAAAATTCTTCTCTTTCGCCACGACATGAACTCGGAAAACATTTTGCAGCTGATTACCTCAGCAGATGAAATACGTGAAGGAGATCTTGTAGAAGTTGTCCTGTCAGGTAAGCAAATGGCTTTTCTTGGATTTTCCCCCTTTCACTTTTCTCCCACAAAGAGTATTTTTTATTCTGCTGAAATTCGTTTTGGCACTGTGTGATTGCTTTTGTCTTTAATGTCTAATAATGGTTTCTTCATGGTTTTTACCATCAGGAAGGTTATAGCACTATGAGAAAGTAAGAAAATAAATTGAATTACTTAAGTGTCGTGAAGCTAAGAGAATTGCCAGTTAAACTCTTTCTGTGGGTCGAAAATATAAAACAAGATTAAAGTTGTTTCCTTTTTCCGTTTCTGTAAAAAAAAAAGTATGGCAAGAACTAAGGTTCCAGAAAGAGAATCTGGATTAAAAAGAAATGTTAAAGACTTGGAAGAAAACAGTGACAATACTGATTATTTGCATGACTTAAAATGTGCTTTTTCCCTTCCGGTTCCCAGTGGACATTTCCCACTTCTGTTCCTGTCTTGTCCCTTCTTGCCATTCCTTGTTCCCTAGCTCCCACCATTTCCACTCTTACCCAGCAGTACATGGGCAGGATGGTCAGCGAATAGTGTGAGAAATGGAAGAATGCCACAATGATGGCATACTTTTGATTGATAAGAAAGGAAGATTGATAACTGAAAGGAAACCAGTGGTCAGCCACAAACTTGGAGTCTGGCTGTGTTACCCTCTCATAATCATCGTTTGGTCCATTCCTGAGATCCTCTCTGACCATTACTTCTCCCTGCTGTTCCTTGCAATTCCCATCCATACTTCTGATTCTTCCATCTACCTAGTCCCCCTGCTTTGATTAACCACACAACAGCCCCACCTTTGTTTCTTCTCACTCACAGGAGATTTTTGTGCTGTTCTCCTTTAAGTCATGATCACATTTATTCCCTCTTGGCTGTGGACCTTTCATCAAACCATAGGGACATCACTAGTAACTTTCAGGTGAAGGAAAAGAATCCTGAGAATCTGTTTGAACTCAGTATCTATTCTTACAGAAACATTGTGACAATGAGCTTAAGTTCTATAGCTCTTCTATTTTTATATTTTACTTAAGTGTTTTCTTTTCTCCATGTATCCTAAGCTAAACAGTTTTTAATGGGGTAAAGAAGATGTAATAGCTTTTTGCCATTTGTCATTATGTGACAGTGCTTTTGGAATACCTAGCCTATAAACTTCCAACTTGGCTTATTTGGAGCCTAACTCATTTAAAGCTGTTGGACTTCTAAAAGAACTGCTTTAAAAAAAAAAAAAAAAGAAATCATGAGTCTCAGAGTCTGTTCTGAACCATTGCTGGGTGGAGCCTCTCAGGTGACAACTGTAATAGCTCCTGTCTGCAGGCATAGCAGAGTATCATTAATAGTGTCAGGGTTGGATCTCTTCCATGGGGTGGGTCTCAGGTTGGACCAGGCATTGGTTGGGCATTCCCTCAGTCTCTGCTGTTTGTTCTTTGTCCCTGCAGGTCTTGTGGGCAGGGTAAGTTTTGGATCAAAGTTTTTGTGGATGGGTTAGTGTTCTCACTCCACTAGGAGTCTTGTCTAGTTACAGGGTATCCATTTCAGTGTCCATGGCCCCTGCTACTGGGAGTCTCAGCTAGAGTCCCCCTAATATCCTCCCAGAGGCCTGTTCTGACTTAGGTCCTCCACTTGTCACAATTTCTCTGCAGGCCTTCTGTCCTCCCACCCCTACTCTCCTGAAGTCTGATCTCCACCCTTATTTCTCTCTGCAATACCTCTCCTTCCTTGTTCCCTCCTTTTCAACCACTTCCTCTGTCTATTCTATTTCCCCTTCTGAGTGAGATTTAAGCATCCTCCCTTGAGTCTTCCTTGTTACTTATCTTCTTAAAGTCTGCATTGTAGTATGCTTAGGCGAAGGAGAGGGAATCTAGTGCAAAGTGGTGAGAAGGATAAAAGGATCTCGAGGTGACAGAAGCTCCACAAGAAGACCAACAGAGCCAGCTAACCAGGGTCCAGAGGGGCCTGGGGAGTCTGAAGCACCAACCAAGGACAATGCATGGACTGGACCTAGGTCTTCTACATATATGTAGCCAGTGGGCAGCTCAGGCTTCTTCATGTAGGTCCACTAGTTAGGGGAGTGGAGGCTGTCTCTGACATGGACTCTGTTGCCTGCTTTTTGATCATGTCTCCCTGATGGGACTTAACTGTCTTACCAGGCCACAGGGGAAGAAGAAGAACTCAGTCCTCATGTGACTTGATGAGCTGGGGTGGATGGGTTGGAGCTCCACACGTCTGAGGAATGGGGGCGGGGAATAGAGGAGGGAGGAGAGAAGGGGAGGAGCTATGACCAGGATTTAAAGTGAATAAATTAATTAATTAATTTTAAAAAATCATAATATTGGGCCAGAATGATAGCTCAGCAGAGAAAGGCCTCTGCCATCAAATCTTATGACCTGCTTTTGACCCCTGGGACACACATGGTAAGAGGAGAGAACTCATGCCTATAGGTAGTCCTCTGACCTTCACACATGCTGTGGTACTTACTGCTCCCTTAACACATGTGTACACATACAATAAATACATGTAATAAAACATTTTAAATCAGTTTTAAATACTAAAAATAATGGATTTTGTGGTTAGATGAACCTTTCAGATCAGTTTTGTGTTTTTAAATAAATAAATATGGTGACCATTCCTAGCTTGTATGCAATTATAAAATATAGTTTAATACTTTGGTTTTGTTTTTATTTTATTTATTTTTTTAAAGCTTTGGCCACAGTAGAAGACTTCCAGATTCGCCCTCATGCTCTCTATGTACATTCTTATAAAGCACCTACTTTTTGTGATTATTGTGGTGAAATGCTCTGGGGACTGGTACGTCAAGGATTAAAATGTGAAGGTAAGTGTTTTCAAATTTGCGTATTAATTTAAAAGAGGCTTTTATGCTTGTCTTTTGCATTATCAGTGAAAGACAAAGATCATAGTGGGTGTCTCAATAGGATTTTGATTATGAAGACAGGGGCTCTGCCTCCACCTACTGGTTCCTTTGCATAGGCAACTTAATCAACATTCCTGGGCACTGGCTTCTCTGTGAAGGCTTCATAAATGGTTAAATAAGGTAACATGAATAAAATATTTGACACAAAACAGTGACTTAATAACAGTTAGGCACTTATTATAGATTTCTCTTCTCTTTTTAGTTTTTTTCTGTACAATGGTAAATTTGGACAAATTGTTGAAAGTTAGAATTGCTAGGGAGTAAGCCATGGTGCATAAATCTGATGAAGAAGCAGTCTTTACTGTGGAGAGCCAGTTAACTTTATTTGTAAAGTAGCAGTAAGAAAGTACTTTATTTAGTTTTTTCAGACTATGTGCTCTCTCTTGTGTCTAAGCTCTGCTGCTGTAATATAAAGCTAAGCATAGGAATCAGAGAGGAGTCTCATCAGCTGAGAGCACTTGCTGTTCTCTCAGAGGACCTGGGTTCAGTTCCCAGCACATGCATAGTGCCGTAAGCCATATGTAACTCCAGTTCCTGAGGATTTCATGCCCAAGGGCACCAGGCATGTGTGTGCTACATATACATACATGAAGACAAAACATTCATACACAGAAAGTTTTAAAAATAAGTTTTAAAAAACCTCAACAATTATCCGTAGGTAATACATAAATAAACAGCAGACTGTGTTCCAATAAAACATATTTATAGAAAAGGGAGCTGTCCTAATCGGAACACTCAATCGGAGCCACATAAACATGAGGATCTGAGTTCAGTCCTCAGGACCCAAGTCAAAAGGTGGATGTGGTAATGTTTTGGGGATTTTGGAAACGAGAATCCCTAGGGCTTTCTTACAGTTTCAGACCCCAGTGAGGGATGCTGCCCTCCAAACAAGGTGGATATTTCATGAGTAATGACAGCTGAAGTTGATACTAGTCTCCATACTCATACCCTAGTGCCAGCACAGGGATGACACACATGTGACTTTAGTGTTATAGCATTATGCATATTATAATTATTAACACTAATACTCTGTATTGTTATTATTGTTTTATATTCATGAACACTGAGTTCTGAGTTCTGTGTAAGTTTCTTGTCATTGAAGGTTTGTTGCACATGGGTCACAGTGTGCCGCTGGGTAGTGAGTGCTTGAAGCCAGTAGCTCTTAAACTTTTGCCAAGTATCACAGAGTATGCTTTGCCGTGCTCAGCCCCCAGAGTTTTTCAGTCTGTCGATTAGGAGATGAGTCTAGTAATGTATCTTCCCAACAAACTTCCAGGTGGTTGTCTTAGCCATCATAAGACAACATTCTCTGCTCTAGTTAATTTTTCTAAGTAAACTTTTCTACATGTTTTCTATTCTTGAATATGTTATATTCCACATAATCTGTGTATGACTTCTTAATTAAGGTTGGTATTGTTGCCAGAGAAAAGAAATTAAATAACTAGTTTTTATGTGTTATATTTTAAATTTTTATATTTTACTCTTAAATTTTATTTAGGATGTGGATTAAATTATCATAAGCGATGTGCCTTCAAGATTCCAAATAACTGTAGTGGAGTAAGAAAGAGACGTCTGTCAAATGTTTCTCTGCCAGGACCTGGCCTCTCAGTGCCGAGACCCTTGCAGCCTGAATGTGTGCCCCTTCTCAGCGAAGAGGTATGTATTTTCAGGTCATCGAAGGTACTTTACTAGTTATTCCTAGTGATCTTACAAGACATACGGCATCCTAGAACAGATAATAACAGAGTATAGTAATGTTCTGACACTAAAGGCACGTTAAATGTAGTAAAGAAGACAAAGCTTACCAATAGCAATAGATTGAACTTTGTGCCCTTTGGGATTGCATTATCATTTAGAGCACTGTGGGAACCTCCTCATTATGTTGGCACTCAGTCTTCATATTTTACTTAATCTTACATGTAACCATAAGGTCTGGTTATGTTTTTCTCCACTAGGTAACTATGTTAATGATCTCCATTGAAACAAAACCTGTTCAGTAGAGTGTGTGTGTTTAAATGACAGGATTTATGATATATGATCAGATTCTCAGTCCCAACAAGGTCATCTGTAGACACAGCAGGAGAAACCAATAGCCACTTAGGAATTGGAAACCTCGGAAAATGAGGGACTGCTGACTTGAAATCCACTGGAGAGTTGCTGGTACATGTCTCCCTTCACAGGCTGATGTGTGTGGAGTCTGACATGCACAGTGATGGCAGGAGGAACTACCTCTGCCCCAAAGATTAGCATAATATGTGAAATGTGCATTGCTTCTGTTCTGTGTTGCATCTGTACCTGCAGCCTGTCGAGTGATGCCGTCCACACTCACAGCATGTCTTTCCCGCTCAGGTCAAGGTTGCTGGCCCACATGGCGGTGGTCTAAGGAAGTACTTACCTAGACCAATAATGTATGCTATGTTTTGAGTGCCATTACACTTTTGAAACCCTGTTCGTGAGTCTAACATTCTGCCTAGTGTTTATGTACTAGGTTATAGAAAATAAGAATTAAGTTTCTAAAAATAAACAAATAGACAAAAGCCAAGACCTAAAGCTTCACTGAATAAGGAACTAAGCTTAGAAACAGGCATATTGGGAACAAAACCTTAAATGTAACTCTAAAATTGCCTTTTTCTGTATGTACAAGGCTATTTCTATCATCATAAGAGGCATTTCCACTGCCATTCGTTGTTTTAGAACCTCTGTCTTTTATATATTAGTACACTCAGGACTTCTGCACACCAACTACAAAAGCTTTACAAACTGAGAATCAAAGTAAAATTTTATGTACTTCTCTTCTAAGAACTGTCATGTTTGTGTTCTGCTTAGCTACAGGAAGAGATTGTTGAAGTAGAGGAAGAAAGCGAGGACCATGAGTTCTAGGGCAGGGAAACCCTGCCTCAACAACAACAACCACCTGAAAAAATAAAGTAGAAGAGAAATGCACATGGTATAGATACTAAGAATGAGAAACTGTACAGAGATATGAAAGGCCTTGGGAGAAGAGTGGGTAAAAAATTAGTATGTCTTCTACACTGAACCATACAGGCAACCTATCTGAGAATAAGAACTATATTGCTTTAAGAACCCCACAGATGATGCTATGATAGCAGCTATTCATTGTTGATAGTACTTGCCTAGAGGAAAGCAGGTAAACAGAGAAAAGGGAAAAGTACAACCATCCTGTAACATTCCCACCATATTGGTTTTATTACCTGCGATAACGAAATCCACTAGTGTTCAACTTCTTTATTGACATTGGCACAATATTTGCATATAACCAACATACATCCTCTTGTACACTTTAAATCATCACTAGATTTATTACTATATCCAATATACTAAAAAATACACTTGTTGTTCTGAGTATGACAGTACTCTGGCTGTAACATTTGTTGTCCTGTTGATCCTAGCTGATTAGCTCATTAGGCAGGTATCCCTTCTTCCTTTCCCACATATGTGACCTTCCTGAAACTTCTCCAATAGAAGACCAACCTCTATTGGTGGAGATTGTAGGAAAGAGCATTTAGGAGGTGCCCTGAAGCTGAACCACGGCTAGTCAAAAGCCTCTTCAGCTCCCTTGTGTCAACCTTGTTGCTTAGAGCACCTTTATTCAAATAACCCTCATTACAGTCATCAGAGGCACACCATCATCCCAGTTTCCTTGACGGAAATGAGGAATAAGTTTCTATGGATGGGTGGATGGGTGAATGCCAGGATATAAAACCTCACTGAATAAGGAAATGAGTTTGGAAACAGGTATATTGGAAACAAAACCTTTCAACATAACTCTGAGATTACCTTTACCTGCAGTACTCGGCTTCCTATCATAAAAGACAGCATAAAGAGGTAAAAGAACAGAAGTTTTACTGAATTTGGTTAGAATGAAAGCAGTAAGGCTTGATATTCACAACTCAGCACTGGCTATTTGAGGGTGAAATGGGTAAGTATTTCTCTCAGTATATTTCTGAGGGACCAGATCAGAACAGAATGACATGAGAAAGAAAAGGTTGGGGATGAGCAGGTGCACCAAAGTGGTGGTACTTCTCTCGCTTGTTCCCCAGTGCAGACTAAATATGCGGAGTGAATGGGTGGATGGCCTTATGAGTGCTTTTGTTTTCTCATTTGTGTGTGTGTGTGTATTTGATAATTGGCAATGATGTTGCAAAGTTTTTGTAAGGAATTGACTGGCAGATATTAGCTTATTTAGTACTAAGCTGTAGAAATATATTACTTTTAGAAAATTTCTGGCCACACGGTAATAGGGAAAAACAACTAAGGCTAATTCCCTTTTTTTAGAAAGAGCTGTAGTTACAAAACTCTACGTATCTTTTAAGCTACATAAATATTTTAATTGTTCCTTATTTAATTTTTTAGTTTCACTTGGAGGGAAAAAAAACCTAGAAAATATTTGCAGTATCAAGGAACAGCTTAAAATCTAATTACTATCACTAATGATATTTAGTTTGGTGTTTTAGTTTTTTGTCTCCCACCATTTAATTCAAATTTTTATAAATATGTTCTAGTATTGTTGGGAAATTTTGAAGCTAAGTGTTGTTTCAGGCTGTATTCAGTAGTACACAGTGAGCAGTGATAGTGACTCCTCAGTTCATTGCTTTCCTGTGATTAACTGCTTGGTCAGCTTCGGATGGGCATTAACATTTGTTACAAATTCATTGGCAGGCTTTGGTTTTATTGTAAAATGCTAAATGTGCCTGGCAAATACTAATCAGTGTGTGTGTGTGTGTGTGTGTGTGTGTGTTTCTCTGTGTCTGTGTCTGTGTGTAGAGAGATCAGGGGATGTAAAAGATAGAAAGCTGTTAGGTTGGTTGAGGAACCTGCTTTGTTGGTGGTAAAGTGAGCCCTATAGTAAAGGAAACTCTAAAAAGTGCCATTGGCAACAATCCCTCCCTAAGCAGCAAGTCAGTTAGTAGGTCCCAGTGTAGAGCAAACTTTAGTCCAGCTCACTAAGGTGGGAAATTGTTCAAGTCCATAGGGAGCTTCTCTGCAAATGGGACAGGTACTGCATCATCAAATATTCAGTATTTGACACTGTGTCCACACCTTGTTCAACATTTTTATTCTATTTTCTCAACACCAGCTATGATCTTTGTCAAGGACCTTTCTCTTCTTTCTTTCTTAAGTGTAGAGAGATAAACCAAATGGCTGGACTACCAAGTGAGTTGCCCACTGTTAAGTCAAATGAGTAGTTTTGTGCAGCATCTGGAGCCTACATTGCCACTATCTTAACTATAGTTCTTTTCAGCGATGCTAAAAACTGAAACCTGCTGGTGGTTTCTCTACACTTGGAAATGATTTTCCATCCTTTGTACTTGTATTAGGAATTTCTCAGGTTCTTCAAAAATCTGTACTTCCCTCATGCAAATGTGGTAAATTAAGCCCAAAGAAAACTGGTGAGGATCACATTTTTTAAATGTTGGCTTTAGCCTTCCAGATAAGTAACTTGTGTTTATGCTTTGCTCCCAACAGTTTGTTTTTAATACTAACTCACACTGACTTAAATTACTGATGTTTTAGTCACACACTCACCAAGAGCCAAGTAAGAGAATTCCATCCTGGAGTGGCCGTCCGATCTGGATGGAGAAGATGGTCATGTGCAGGGTCAAAGTTCCACACACATTTGCTGTCCACTCTTATGGTCGTCCAACAATCTGTCAGTACTGCAAGCGGCTTCTGAAAGGCCTCTTTCGCCAAGGAATGCAGTGTAAAGGTAGGACTGGTTACATTCCTGGTACAGTTCATGTGTATTCTTCATAATAAATACAAGTTTAAAATATCTAAGTTTCAGAACTATTTATTATAATTTTTTGTAGTTAATTTAAAAAAAGAAAGGGAATGTATCTGTGTGTGTGTATGTGTATATATATATATATACATACACACACACACGTATATATTTGTGACAAATTATCTTATCTCCAGTGTTTTATACCCTTAAAAAGAAATAATCAGAGCAACTATATAAGAAATAATGGTATTCATTCTCATTTAAATTAAGTATAAGACCACATGGGATGATAAGTAGAAAATCTGTGCATGCTATTAGATTGTGCATGAAGTAAGAGGAAGAGAAGAGGAGCAGCCAATATGTTTGCATCGTACAAATGGTATTAACTTCATTACACAGATGAAGAAGCTGATCCCTGGTTGGGTTAAATGACTGAAAGGTTGAAAAAACCATTAAATGCCATCAGAAGTTGAGGCCAGACTGTCAGCCAATACTAGAGTTCTTAGAGGAAGATATTGTTTTCAAGTGATTTAAAGGAAGTATAATTGTATCTGATTTTATCTGTTTAAATAATAAGCTGAATATTTTTATTATAGATTGCAAATTCAACTGCCATAAACGCTGCGCATCCAAAGTACCAAGAGACTGCCTTGGCGAGGTTACTTTCAATGGAGGTAAAATGATATATTTTTCTTAACTGTTATAAAAGATCAGAAAAGGTCATGACTCTGTGTACTGTCTGGGTAAGATTGTGTATTTTGTTTTACTGCCTTTGTTAAGGTTTTCTTCTGACTTCATAACTAAACAGAAATCAAAGATCAATGACACAGCACATTAGTAGCTAGTGCCTTCCATCTTAGCCGCCTGTTTACCCTGGCCTCCAGTATCCAGTGCTGCTGCATGCCGACTTCCAGATGCACTTTTAACATCTGCCTGTCATCTTTATTCTTTATTTATTGACTTAAATGTAAGGACAACCCTCTGAGGTAATTATAGTAAATATCTAAGACACAAACACATTAAATAATTTGCCTTAGAATTAGGGCCAAGAAGTGGCAGAGTTAGAATTTGAGCCCATGTTTGGCTCGTTAGTCTAAGTCTTTTTCTCTCAAGTAACCTATCACTCTCTTCTTCCAAAATAATACTAGTAGAGCCATTACTTATTTTTTGGAAGGAATAAAGAACACAAGCTCGAAGCTTCCAACATAATTTTTCCTTAACAGTTTATATGACTAATAAAAGTAAATGTAACTAATTTTTTTAGGAAAAGGATTGAAAATTTTAAAACTCCATGAGAATTTAATTAACATGTTCTACATATTTTTCCATGGTTCTCAGTTGTCTTCGGTCTGTTTAGGCTGATATTAAATAACCATAGGTGTTGTAGTTTATAAACAACAGAAATTTATTTCTATAGTTCTGAAGGCTAAGAAGTCCAGGGTGTCAGCAGATTCTGAATTGGTGAACATCTTACCTTCTGGTTCCTGTAAGACACTGTTTGGCTACATGGTAGCATGCTGGAATGTAGGAGTAAGCTCCTTGGAGCACTAATGCAAATCATAGGACAGAGCCTTCACACTTGATCACCTCCAAAGGCCCTATCTCCAAATGCCATTACCTTAGAAGGCAGATTTGATGCACAGATTTGGGGTAAACCTGTCACTGCACGATCGCTAGTTAACATCATTAGTAGAGTATGATTGGTTTCCCATATGCCTAAAGTCTATATAGCTTTATAGTTTACACATTTGTATTTTTGTGCCTTTCTACCTTTCAACAAATGGATATGAAGTACTGTATGTTCATTTTGATGTGCATTTCTCTGTTGGCTTGTGAGGTTGAACATCTTTCAAGTGTTTGGTGGTATCTATGTACCCACTCCACCCCCACCACATGGCCTGTTCAAATGCTTTATTTTTGTGATAATTAGACATACTAATCTTTTTTTCATCTATAGAGGACATAATGACTTGATGCTATATTTTTTTAGCAGCTTTTCCAAGCTCCAGTTCATTTGTTTTATAATCTACGCATTTGATATATTCACAAAGTTATGTGGCCATTACTCTAATGTTAGGAATTTACATTTCTACTCAAAATTATATAATTAATAGTCCCATCTTATTGTTCCTTCTCTTAATAGCCTCTGGAAGCCAGTAGACAACTTTCTGCTTATATGTTTGTCTATTTTAGAAATTGCATATAAAGACAGTTATACAATAAATATGTAAGGCTAAGTGGCTGTTTATTTTTACTTAGCATAGTATTGTTAGAGATCATACCTATTGTAACCTTTGCTGGTATTTAGTTCTTCTTACAGACAAATGATAGCCACTCTCAGAGAAACTATTGTATTTTGTAGACGTGATCATCAGTAGGTGTTTGAGGTGTCCCTGCTTTGGGGCTGTTAGGAATAGTGTTGCTGTGCACAGCTAGTATTACTTCTCTGTGGGCATATGTTTTCATTTCACTTGGCTAGATACCTGGGATAGTAGGTGGTTGAGCGACTTGGTAACACTGTGTTTAACATTTCAAAGACCTGTCAGACTTCCAAATCCACTGCACTGATTAAGAGCCCATCAGTATCTAAGTAACTATTTTTTCTTTTATTATTGAATTGTAGACTATCTTTAAATATTCAGAATATAACTCCCTTATCTGGTGTTTTTTTACATATACTTTCTCAGTGGTAGATCAATTGCCTAGAATTTGCAAGGCCCTGGATTTGATCCCCAGCATACACAAAAAAGTAAGAAACAAACAAAGACTCCCCTACCTTGAATCTTAGGGATATTTTTCTCAAGTTTTAAAACTATTTTTGAGTTAATTTTAAGACTGATCTGATTAGATGTATTGATAGTCTATTAATATTAAACCGTAATTCTTTTAAAACTTTCCTAGAGCCTTCCAGTCTGGGAAATGATACAGATATACCAATGGATATTGACAGTAATGATATGAACAGCGATGGCAGTCGAGGCTTGGATGACTCAGAGGAGCCATCTGCACCAGAAGACAAAATGTTCTTCCTGGACCCCACTGATCTTGATGTGGAGCGGGATGAGGAGACTGTTAAGACAATCAGGTATTATGAAGCTGCTGCCAAAGGCAAGGGCAGGACAGGTCTCTGTTTAGGGAAGGTGACATTTCTTTAATGAAATTACATTAAATTAAAATCTAATTAAATTGTGGCTAATTATTGCATGCACCACAATATTTCTAAAATAAATTCTGTTACCTTTGCTATCTATTCAAGGTAGAAAGTATGAGAATCTTACTGTCTTAAAAAGAGAAGAACTTTATTAAAATAGAGTCTGGGTAACATATCTCGCTTTGGAGCAGCTACCTCAAGGTACCATCATTAAACCATTAATTGAAGCAACCGGTTTCTGCACACATACAGGTTACCAGGTGGTAGAATCAGCAATGAGGAATACCCTCCTGAGATGTTTCCATACACACACGCCAAGGTGCACATTTTCTCCAGCTGTAATATAACCTGATTTTACTTATTACAATGTTTAATTTTCTTAATACCTAAAAGTCATTTCCCTTAACAGTACTTTTCTCTCATATGATCGACTGATTTTGAAATTTGAGCAATGTGAAGTTGAATAAACACATTTTGCCTTATTATGAATTTATTCTTCTGCCTAGGGCAAGAACATTCCTCAACAGCAAACCCAAATGACTTCCCAGGCTCCAAATCATCTGGCTGGAAGATCCCTTCTGCTCCACCCATTATCTCCCCTTCCTTCCCGCCCTCTTGTGTGTGTCCATGTCCTTCCAGAAAAAATCACAACAAACAGGATTACTTACAGAATTTTAGTAGTCTGAGAAGTTAACTGTGTATCAGTATAACAGGACTAATTTCTTTTTAAGTCATTGTCTTCTTGTGATATTTTGAAAAATACTAGCTCAGTTATCTTTTTAACTTATTGAGGCTATAGTATGTGTGATTCTTTTTAAAGTAGATATTGAAAATATTGATGATAAATTTTAAATATTTTCTAGTCCATCCACAAGCAATAATATCCCATTGATGAGGGTTGTGCAGTCCATCAAGCACACAAAGAGGAAGAGCAGCACAATGGTGAAGGAAGGGTGGATGGTCCACTACACCAGCAGGGATAACCTGGTCAGTAAGCACATACGTCTGCATATGCTGGCAAAACTGATGATGCTCTCTGCTCTGTGCACTTGGTAAATTAAGACAAGGATGAAGTATATATTGAGACATTGTATACACTACCGCAAGGTGTGAATGTTAGTGTAAACTGATAGTCAAGATTGAAAAAGATCATTGGAGTAATGACTGAAAACATGACTCGCTAAAGATGGAAAGAATTAGAGGTGCATATGAATAGTCATCTTTAGTATGGTAGGAAACAGTTGTTTGATGTGTATAAGCAGTGTAGCTGGCCATATTCTCTTTGGATCAGTGTAACAAAGAGGAGGAGTTATAAAATTATAATAGGACAGCAGAGGAAGACCCAGCACAGTAGAGTAGCTGAGAATACTGGCTTCATAGCTAGGCCCCCGTAAATCTGTTTCTAAAACTAGACAAGGCACAGCTACGTATTTTTCTTTATGCCTCAATTTCTTTGTCTGTAAAGTAGTAACTTTCTCATACAGCCAAATGAGCTAATGTCTGTGACAACTTAGGGCAATGTTTAGCATAGAGTAAGCAGTCAGGAAATATCAGTAGCTCTTAAATGTGCTGAATATTTTCTAGTACACCCTTTAAGAATAATATGAAGTTAGATTGCTGCAGTGTTCAGACCTCCTCAGAGAAGTTTCTTTGTGCAGAGGATGGCAGTTAACTCAGAAATTCACAACTGGTTAGTACAGAGTAAGTTTCTGTGGAGTGTGCAGCTGCAAATGAGACAGCCATATCATACCTCCTCTCCCCAAGGCTCAGGGATCATTCCGAAAGGTGGGCACAAAGACTGTAAGAGCCTGAGGTGGGGAGGACGAAAGTGAAAGTGTCTTTTGCACAGGACAAGACTGCTGCACTGGTGGACTCCGCAGCTATAGCCACCTGCACAGGGTCAAGCCTGTCACACTGCAGCGGGGAGGGCTCAGAAGCCCTGTCCTAGCCGAGGGCTTCCGGGAAGAGAAATTTCATCTTCTTCCTACTCAACCATGCACCCATGGGCCCATACTCAGGAATTTATGGGTGGCAAATTGGACTCTGGGTTATTTTTTAAACGGAAAAATTTTGGATGGGAATGAGATTGGGGCAGAGTTAGGGGTAGGAATGGGGTAAAATAATCAAAATACATTGTTTGCATCCATAAAATGCTCAAAGAATAAAAAAATATTTAAAAACATATGAAGTGTTAATATATTTAGCTGGTTTCAGTAAAGTTATATGGCGACAGTGGTACAAATTACAGCTGTATATTTTTTTCATTTGTTTATAATCCATGTCCTTTCACCTGGAATTTAAATATACACACATTTGAGAATTTAATGATGTGTCTCATGATGGATAATTCAATAAATAGTATTTGGCTAACCATATAGCCATTTTGGAAAAAACAAAAAGACTATACATAAATCACATTTCACATGTAACAAAACTAAATGAATCAGAGACTTAAGCAGTTTCAAGTTAAACCAGTAGAAGGAACAATCAGTTATTTTATAAAGACTGCATGTTAGGGAAGGGAGATCAATGAACTAATCTCATGAAAGAAATTCTGTGTTTGGCAAACCCAAAAACAAGACAAATGACAAACTGGAAATATGTATTTCAACTTACATTTTAAATAAGCACTAATCCAGAATATGTGAATAAAGCCAACAAATGGATAAGAAAAAAGACCACAACATAATAAAAAGAGCAAATTAATATGAAAACCTATCACAGAAAAGGAAATAAAATTATTCTTATACATAAAGTGTGGTTTGGTTTATAATAAAAGAATTATCACCTTTTACTTGCATTGACTAACAGGTGTTTATTTGTTTGTTTTTTTGTTTTGTTTCTTTTTGGTACATTAAAAACAAAAAGTTTAGAAAGGGTCTAAATCAGTAGTTAACCTGTGAATCATGACCCTTTTGAAGATCAAATGACCCTTTCACACAGGTCACCTAAGAATATCAGAAAACATAGATATACATTATGATTCATAGCAGTAGCAAAATTACAATTATGAAGCATTAACAAAAATTATTTTATGATTAGGGGTCACCAGAACATGTAATAAAGGTCACATCATTAGAAAGGTTGCTAACCATTGGTCTAAACAGTCATCCCTGTGTTGTTGATAGAACTATAAATTAGGTCAAATCTTTTATTGCAGTACCAAAACAGTCTTTATGTATCTTTTTAAATTGTTTATATATTTTTGAGAATTGCATATATGTATACAGTGAAGTATCATATCTACTCCATTTCTTCCCGTGTCCCCCTAACGCTTACATCATCCTTTCAACTTCATGTGTGTGTGTGTGAGTGAGTGTGTATGTGTGTGTGTGATAACCACTAAATCAAGTGAATGAGTACTACACATAAATACCTGGCTATTTGGCCAGTCACTGGAGGATGCAAGCCATCAGTGACCACATCTTCAGAAAGCAGACGATGGTCCCTCCCCTGCAAGGATCCACTGTTCATGGGCCCTCATTAAGTGTTGAGAGCCGAAGATCATCTGCTCCACACATGCCAGGATTTTGTCTGGCTTGATATTGTATGGGTCTTGCGTAGGTAACCACAGTTGCTGTGAGTATGATATAATGCCATGTCAGGAATAAAGATGGCATTTCACAGCTCCCCTCCCCATCCTCTGGCTCTTTCTGCCTTCTGTGTGACGTTGCCTAAGCCCTGGTGGTGACAGCATAAATATCAATGTCCCATTTAGGACTGAGCACTGAGTCTTTGATTCTCATCACATTGACCAGTTATGTATGTCTCCACTGACTACTGCCCATGACATAACCCCTCTGACGTAGCTTAAGCGCAGCCTGGGTCTGTCAGCTCCTGGACTAGAGAAACTACAGCAGTGTAGGTGTACGGCTCTGCATCCAGGAAGCCCTTACCTGCAGGCACCAGGAGCAGGGTGAGCAGAGAGCGTTGGGGCCTGAGAACCCCTTGCCTGCTGGTGCTTGTCTCTTGACAGCGTCTAGAAATTTAGCATATAAAAAAATTGCATAAATCTATGCATGTGAATAATACAGGTATTTATGTCCATACATACATTTCTATGGAAGAATCCACTAAAACCTAACAACATGCTTGGATTAAGTATAGAATGGGATTTGAATCACTGTGAGAGTGATGCTTTTCACTAGACTTCCTTTTTATATCTTGAAATGTTTAAACTTGCTCAAAATAGAGGAAGGGATATTAAAGGAAAAGTGCAAGTATTTTGGAAGAGATAATTTCTGAACCACATTTTCTGACTTCTGTTTTTAATAGAGAAAGAGGCATTATTGGAGACTTGACAGCAAATGTCTTACATTGTTTCAAAATGAATCTGGGTCAAAATATTATAAGGTAAGGATTTTGTATATTATAAGATTAAAATACTGTAATATTGTATTTTCTAGTTTCTGTAAAATTTTATGTGTTTAACTTCATTTTTATGTGGATGTACTTCTTATGACTACCCAGTATAGTTTTCAGAGGTCATTGTTAGGTCCTTGTTGAAGCAGCTGCTCTCTACTTCCATTTCACATACAGACATAAATATATACCACACACACCAAAAAAAAAGATGACTTTTCTATGTTTCTGACCTAATATTTGGACTAAACCTTAAATACAATAATTTAGCCAATGTAGACTAGAAAGAATGCTTATGCAACCTTACTGGCTCAGGATTCTTTTTCTGCCATTGTTTTTCAATCATTTATTTATTTTTGTTTTATGCATATTGGTGCTCTGCCAGCATGTGTGTCTGTAAAGGTGTCAGATCCTCTGGAAGTAGAATTAGAGACAGTTGTGAGCTGCCGTGTGGGTGCTGGGAATTGAGCGCAGGTCTTTTGGAAGAGCAGAGCCGTCTCTCCAGCCTCTCTGCCATTATTGTTGCTTGCTCAGTTTAAGGGTGTCCCTTGCAGAACAGTCCCTGGAGACACAGCTGCTGAGTGGCACTGACCAATTGAGTTTGGCAAGTATTGGATATGGAGGCTAACTACCCTCCTAAATGCTTTCCTGCTTGCATCCTAATGGTCTGCTGTAGCCTCAAATTGTTCTATTATTTCAGCGTGCATGTGTGCACGTGCCTGCGCACATGCATCTGTGCACACACAGAGCATGTGCAGGGGCACACCAGGTGTGTACCAGATATCTTCCCTTATTATTGTTTAACTTTTTTTGGCATGTAAGGTTTTTTATTTTTATTTGTTTTTTATGTGTACAAGTGATTTGCCTAAATGTATAAGTATGCACTTGTGTGTATGCCTGGTGCCCATGGTGCCAGAAGAGGGTGCTGGGTCCCCTAGAACTAGAATCACAGGCAGTTGTGAGCTGCCGTGTTAGTGCTGGGAACTGAACCCAGGTCCTCTACAAGAGTAGAAAGTTCTGTAAGCACTGGGCGTCTCTCCAGCCCCTCCATTATTTTTTAAGCTAGGCTCTTTCCCTCAGCCTGGATGAGTGTTTGGATTGACTCACTATCCAGTGAGCTCTCTGAGGTCCCTCTGTCCCCTGCTGCCCTCCAGCTCTGGGGAGGTGACAGGGCCTCATGTTGGCAGAGTGAGCACTTGACACATCTCCCACGCCCTGAGTCTGTGAGCTGCCTCTGGCATTGATGGACAGTGAAATCACGTGATACAGACATCCCATAATACTTGGCTGTCTAATCCATATGCTCCATACTGTGTTAGTCTTAGTGGCTTATAAAATGCTTATCTTTGGTTCTTTGTTGTATTTAAAAATAAAGACAAATGCATTAATAGTTTTTCATTGTTCAACTTTTTTACTGCAGGAAATTCCACTTTCAGAAATTCTGCGCATATCTTCACCACAAGATTTCACCAGCATTTCACAAGGCAGTAACCCACACTGTTTTGAAATCATCACTGATACCATGGTATACTTTGTTGGTGAGAACAATGGAGGCAGCTCTCATAATCCTGTTCTCGCTGCCACTGGAGTCGGACTTGATGTAGCACAGAGCTGGGAAAAAGCAATTCGACAGGCCCTCATGCCGGTTACTCCTCAAGCAAGTGTTTGCACTTCTCCAGGTCAAGGAAAAGACCACAGTAAGTGGAAGCACCTTGGTGGCTTCTCCTTGTTTTAAACATTTGTACATATACTTGTGTGGTGTGCTTTTTTTTTTTTTTATTCTTTGTAATTTGCATTTTTAATGCTCAAGTTTTGTTTGTAGTAGTCAATACCATTGACTACTACAATATAGTCAATTTATACAGGAGTACTTTTATAAATTTATAGTGGTGGTGCACACCTTTAATCCCAGCACTTGAGAGGCAGTGGCAGGCAGATCTCTGTGAGTTCAAGGCTAGCCTGGTCTACAAAGTGATTTCTAGGATAGCCAAGGCTGCACAGAAAAACCCTATCTCGAAAAACCAAATAAATAAGTAAATTTATGCTGGAGATTATTCACATATAGGTTTATACGTGTGTGTGTGTGTGTGTGTGTGTGTGTGTGTGTGTGTGTGTGTGTGACTGACTGACTGAGTGATGGCTTCAGTGTATGTTCACAGCTAGCTACAGTCATATCCTTACATTGAAACTCTGCATCCACCAACCTGCTGTCAGCTCTGAGGCAGATATTTTTTCTGTTCTAGAATAGTAGCTACTTTGTAGAATTGTTAGTGTTGAGGAGAGCCAGCCTGTAAGACAAAGAGCAGTGCTGTAGTGCTTAGCATCCATGAAGTCTCCTGAGATTAAGTAGTACTGTTTTATTTCATGGTGACAAATAAACAAAGTACTGTGTTTGCATTATACTCATAAAATCTGTTAAGTCAGAATGATGTTACTTTTAATTGAATCAAGATAGAAACCTAAAAGCTATTGAAATGGCCATGATGCCACACACCTTTAATCCCAGCACTGAGAAGGCAGAGGCAGGCAGATCTATGAGTTAGAAGCCAGCCTGATCTGTATAGCAAGTGTCAGCCAGGGCCACAGTGAGGTCCTGTCCCAAAAGGGGGGGGGGGGCAGGTAGGAAGGAAAAAAGAGAGAGAGAGGGCTGGGTGAGGTGGCTCATGCCTTTAATCCCAACACTCTGAGAGGCAGAGGCAGTTGGATCTCTGTGAATTCAAGGCCAGCCTAGCCTACAGAGTGAGCTCCACAACAGCCAAGGCTACACAGAGAAGCCTTGTCTTGAAAGAAAAAGCAAAACAAAACACAGGTGAAAAAGAGAGAGAGAGAGAGAGAAAGGGAAGAAGGGAGGGAGGGAGGGAGGGAAGGAAGGATAGAAGGAAGAAAGGAGGGAGGGAGGGAAGGAAGGAAGGAAGGAAGGAAGGAAGGAAGGAAAAGTTGTACACCAACAAAACCTAGAAATTAACCCAAATGTAATAAAGGTTTAAATGAATATTTAATATTAAAAAAAAGTAGAGTATAAGGCCACCTTATTTACCTTATTGGAATTATGTTTATAGATAATTATAGAGAAACATGATTCATCCTCAGAGATATATATTTATGTTGAACTAAGCGGTGCGTGCGCGCTTAGTGTGTGTGTGTGTGTGTGTGTGTGTGTGTGTGTGTGTGTGTGTGTG